TAGGTGGACTTTGTTGTATGAAGCCAATTAAACAATGCATTTGTTGTACGTGAACTGTATGTGGACTTATTATTAGACTTTGCATTAAATCTCTATTAGTTGGGTAATATATATATGCACAAATGCTACTAGTAGTTGTACGCAGCCAAAACTGACCACGATCATGTCTCAACCATGACTCGTCGTCGCCCGTTAACCCGTCACCCAAGAACTGATAGTCAATAAGAAGCGACTGATATCGGTGGGACGGGAGAGCCGCATGATCCAAGAAACGGTGGCGGTAACAATCAGGACAGTGAGAACGAGGTACCATGGAGCCCTACCACTCTTCTTGAGCTGGATCAAGATGACCAAGATGACCAGGTAATTTAGGTATCATGTGACTAGGTAGCCACACACGCTAATTAATTGAGAGTCTATTAGCTTACTTGGTGTCTCCAGCAGGAGGTTCAGCCGACCGAGTAGCCAGATGCTTCGAGTAGCAGCAAGGCCAGAACCAAGTGAGGCATGTCATAGCTTCCTACTGGTAGGAATGCACACTGGCACATCACTGAGTTTGACAAAGTTGGGGAGCCGCTCGCACCTAAAAAAGCTACGACCAAATACAAGACTGTCATCGGGGCACTTGTAAGGGACTACATCCTGATTAAGAACAGGAAGTGGATTGAGAAAGATGATGACTCGTGGAGGGTTCCCGAAAGTGAGAAGAATGACATATGGGAGAAATGGATCCCACAATATTTCACTTTCCCACAGGACTATGACAAGGAGCAAGTCAAGAAAAAAGCAAAAGAAATCATGGGGACATGCTTCAAGACTTTTAAGGGGATATTGTACAAGAAATTTATACTCGAGGATAAAGAGCCAAATTGTTATGGTGGACAGTACGCCAAGCAGAAGGACTTCTGGCAAGAATTCAAGCAATACAGGCAATCCGAGGAGTACTTAAAACTGAGCAGGAAGAATAAGGAGAACTCGCTTAAAGTGACGAATCCTCATAAACTTGGCTCTTGTGGCTACGCCAGTAAGATGGATGCATTTGAAAGGAAACTTGAGGAGGTGGAACGCCTTGGCGTTGAGCCTGAGACTATCAATTGGGAGCCCAAATCAATATATTCTGTATGGCGAGGGGGGGTACACCACGGCCCGGACAGGAGCTTTAGCTCCACAAATCCAGCCATGAGCAGTCTCGTCTAGAGGATCTCTAAGGTAAATGATGAGGTGAGGAAAGGGACCCACAATACTAATAGGGGGAATGACGTGCTCACCCAAGCACTCGGAAACAAGCACTCTGGTCGCACTAGAGGAGCCGGTCTTGTTCCTTGGAAAATAGCATTCGAGGAAGAATCTTCCACTTATCCGAGCCGCTCGAGGGGTAGAGCGGCACAAGAGGCAGAGTATATGAGGGTTCTGAAAGAGATGGAAGACAAATTCGAAAAATGGATTGATGAGAGGGTTCAAGAAAAAGTCAATGTACTTATGGCGTCCATGGGATCAGGAGTAGTACCACAAGAACCTATTCTGACTAGCTTTAGCCCACAGTTCAGGGGTCGCAACAGCTGTGGATCGACCCCGCTCGACGATGAAGAGGCGAATACGCCTCATCCGGTGGACAGCATCACCGAACTCGTCAATGTCAGGTTGTACATCCATCAGCAATGGACAACTAACAAGGTGGCGGTCGGCCAGGCCAGGCCTGCGGGAGACAGGACCATTAATGACCGCCCAATTCCAATGGGGTATGCCCACATTAGCATTGATACTATACTTGATAAGAAGTATAACAAGATGCACATTAATTACCCCACACAGGAAGACAGGCAATGCCTTATTTAGAACAAGGGTGCTCATGTGGCCTGGCGCAAGCGCTTCATTAAGCTTGATCACCAGTTGTCTTCGGATGATGATGAGGACGACAATGAATCTTCGCTGCCCAGAGATGATCACTCACCATCTCCTAACATAGGAGATCACACTACCTTCCCTGCTTCCTTGCCATCACCCCCGAGAAGATAAAAGTCTCCTTCTCTTCCTCCTCGTCCTCCATCTTCATCAGCCCCAACAAAAGAGAAGACTCCTCCTCCTCCCTCTTCATCACCCCCAAGAAAACATAATTCCCATCCTCCTCCTCCTCCACAATAGCCTAAACATAAGATCTAAGGCATCCTTGCAGTCGTAGAAAAGGTCCTCGAATTCGGTCGCTAATGCTCCCAAAGTGGACCAACAAAAAAAAGAAAAGGACGATGAGTGGCAGCATTACAAACTTGATGAACCAACAAATGCCAGAAGTAGCCTCCAAGGAAGACAAAGTTAGATTCTGGAATCTATTTTCCTCACTGCCTAAGTGGAGGGTGCAGTCCGAATTCAATAGGCAAACAGAGAGAAAGCACAATCAATTAAGAGTCAAAGAAATACACCATGAAGATCAAAGGAATATAAACAAGATTGTCGAAGACAACCCCGGATTATCTAGGGATGATGCCACGAACATCTATTATGATTCACTATATGAGACGGTAAGACCGGCAATGCAGTTTCAAAGAGGCAATTTCTTGGTGGACGAGGAGGAGTATAAAAAATTGACAACATATATGCGTGACTTGCATGATTATTATATGGCCCAAGCACTTGAGATGGGGCAGGCGGGTTTTGAATATATTATCTGCCCGCCGCATGTTTTCCATTATCCTAATAAAGAGAAGCACTTTGTCGGTTGGGATCACTTGTTTTAGCTATTCCCGAGACGCGATCTCGATACACAAATATTGACGCTGTGGACTATGTAAGTACCCTACTCACACGATATTATAATTAACTACTCTCTCGATACACAATTAGTTAATGACTGCACATTCCCCATGAATTATGCAGGTGTGTAGCAAATCATTGCTTCAAAAAAAGTACGCTCATATGTCTTTCCTAGACCCCGACCTAGTCAACGAGAGCACATGCGGAGGCATGCATAGAAATAAAGTAAAAGATCTGATGGAGACACTGACTGCCATTTTCAAAAATTTCAAGATGAGTAATAAAACCGAATTACTTCTAGCCTACAACTACGAGTTTGTGTTCTTTGCTCTTATTTTTATGCTTGTTTTTTGTAGTTACTATTATCCGTTAACTAGGGTTTTGTGATTGCAGCAACCATTTTGTCTTCATTGTTGTCGATATTATAAGAAATCGTATCAAGGTGTCAGACTCAAAGAAAAAACCACTTTCTTTGCTCGATCTCCTAGTCGAAGTGCTTAATGCGTAAATGAACCTAATAACATATTATTTTCTAATCTCACATAGCATATTCTAATGTTGCCCCTTTTTTCACACTTTATAATGTGGCACAGTGTCCAGGCAAGAATGGTCGGTGGGACAAAGGTCCCATTCCTGGTTGCACCAATGCAATTGGAGACCCTAGACCAGCCGGCGGAAGACAATGAATGCGGGTTCTATGTAATGTGGGCAATGCTTCGCTACCTCGGAGTAAAATCGGTGGCAGCAGATGCTTTGGTGTGTATAATCCTCATTTCATTTATATCTGTTAATTCAACAAAACGATCTACTTATTTCACTGACATTTTAGCCTTTCAAAAACGTCTTTTTTGAATGACAGCGCAAGAAATTTAAACACAATAGGCTGTTAGAAATGGAGGTCATAGCACTGTCATCGGAGCTAGCAGCCTTCATCGTATCGGAGTACTTGGGAAAAAAAGAACATTCTCCATTGCACAGTCTGTGAAGTACAAAGCGGCTCGCTAGACTATTGTAATTTCTTTTTTATTTTAAGGGATCGAGAGCTTCATAAGTACATTTGAACTGTAACCGTAACATTTGTAATGTTTAATGTTTGAAGGACCTGTCGTCTACGTAACGAATATAAAACGAAACCTGATTCCACCAAAAAAATAAAAAAAAATAAAATAAATTATAAAATAGTAAAATACGAAAAGGAGATCACTGTCGGTTAGCACAAAACCGGCAGTGATGATAAAGATGGCACTGCCGGTTCATAGCACGAGCCGACAGTGTTGGTTGAGCCATCACTGTCGGCTTGAAATCCAAATCGGCAGTGTTGCTGAAGACAACACTATCGGTTTGAGCTACCAGTCGGCAGTGATGGCTCGACCAATACAGCCGACTTGAGCCATGAACCGACAGTGATGGCTTGCTCAGCACTGCCGGCTTGAGACACAAGCCGATAGTGTAGGCTTGCTCAACACTGTCGGCTTGAGCCAAGAACCGACACTCTTGAAGCAAACATCACTGTCAATTAGGTCTACAAACCGGCAGTGTTGTTCAACTGGACATAACCGGGTGGAGCCAGGAACCGACACTGTTACCTGTAGATCAGTGTTGGTTTTTAGAAACCGACAGTGATGTCAACCCTCCATCACTGTCGGTATGCCACTGTCAGTTCAAAATCCGATAGTGAAGGGGGTTTTTAACCGACAGTGATGTCAAGATCTGGGGTAGTGTAGTATTTGAAAAAGAAATCTTATTTTTCTCATCCCGTTTTGGTTGTAAATACAATTCATTTTTAGAAGGCAAGACCGGAGGAGTATTTTCAGATATGTATATACGCTAGCGAATAAATGTCGTAAGTCCAAACTTTGCATGCTCGTAACAGAAATAGATAAGCATGCATCCTTACGTCTGGCTAGCTTTTACTACGTTCTAGACTAGACAGCATGCATGACTTGACCATTATTCCAAGAGGTCCTTTGATTTGTACATTGCATGCTGTAACAGAATCAAAGTTGCCTCAACGATATGCATGTCCTGTTCGTGGAATTCTACGCCCCTTGAATTCGTACGTAGAAAAGATTAGCACGCCGGCCATTTAGGTACGTGTGCAATAGGAGCATTTTTTCCAAGCAAACCGTAGAAAATCCACATGCTTCTCCCACTATAAATACCCCCACATACTTGCAATATATCTTCCACAAAACACACGCAACTAGGTCACATACACAGATCCCTGCTGCCTCTAGATAGCAGCTTCTACTATGGAGCCATCCAACAAGCTCGCTGTCTTGCTCGTATCGTTGGCCATGGCTGCCGCCACTGCCGTGCACCCTTCCTACGCTCAGAACTCGCCTCAAGACTACCTCACTCCCCACAACAACGCCCGTGCCGCCGTCGGCGTTGGCCCGGTGACCTGGAGCACGAAGCTGCAGCAGTTCGCGGAGAGCTACGCCGCTCAGAGGGCCGGCGACTGCCGTCTCCAGCACTCCGGCGGGCCCTATGGGGAGAACATCTTCTGGGGCTCCGCCGGCGCCGACTGGAAGGCGGCGGACGCGGTGCGGTCGTGGGTGGACGAGAAGCAGTGGTACAACTACGCCACCAACAGCTGCGCCGCCGGCAAGGTGTGCGGCCACTACACGCAGGTGGTGTGGCGCGCCACCACCAGGATCGGCTGCGCCCGCGTCGTCTGCCGCGACAACCGCGGCGTCTTCATCATCTGCAACTACGAGCCCCGCGGCAACATCGTGGGACAGAAGCCCTACTGATCGATTGTGCCTGTGATCGATGGCTGATATATATATATGGACACGTCCGTGTGCATGCATGCACCGCATGACTTTCCATATATATGAATAAGATTTTATTAGTAAATAAACGGCCATCTCTGAGTGGAATATCTATAGTAGTCATCAATAAAGAGGGTTGCTGTTTACAAGTTGTTTAGTTCCTCCCGTGTATACCAGTCGTACACCTACCACTAGTACAAAGATGCTTCCTACCACTAGTATAGAGATGCTTTCTACGTGCTTTGACATTTTTCACCAGCGTACCGCAGATATGAAAGGCAGGAAAAATCGAGATCTTCACTAGCTAGCGTCTAACGCCAAGGTGAAAGGCCAGTAAAATTCAGATCTTCATTGGCATCTATTAGAGAACCGCTAGGTATTTGGCTTAAGAAAACCGCCTTCGTTAATCAATTTTCACGTTTTAAGTCGCATATCACGCGATTTTTCTCGTGAAAACGCCCATTGCACGGCCGCCGACGCTCGAACCCATGACCTCAGGCTTCACGCGTTCGTCCCCTAACCACTTCACCCACAAGACACTTGTGTCCATTTAGGATATTTGTCCTCCCCATTTATGTTTATCTGATTTTCAAATGAGTATTTGGGACCCTAAATAAATTCAAATGAAAAGTTTATCAACTACAAAGTTTTATAACTTTTTAAGACCAACAACTTTTGTTTTGGTCATTTCTCCATGTAAGGTTGTTTGAAGAATTTGAATTTCAAATGTTAGGAAATTCAAACATAATTTTTTTGGATAGATGGTTTCAAATAAAAAGTTGTTAACTACAAAGATGTACAACGTTTCGAGATCTACAACTTTCGTTTTGGTCGTTTATCTATCTAAGCTCGTTTAAAAAATTCGAATTTCAAATGTGAGAAATTCAAATGTAATTTCGTTAGATAGATTATTTGAAATAAAAAAGTCGTGACAAATATGTATCGATCATCACCATCCCCCACAACATAAAAGACTTGAGTATAATAACCCGACACTTGTCATGTCAAGTTAGTGGAATTTGAGATGTCACGGAAGATGGGTCAAAAGGAAGCCGCTTCATCAAGCAAAAGCATAGCTCTCACATGTGATGAGCACAAGAAGATAACGCCACTGGTGTTTCTATGTAGTCGGAATGAGATAACGAGAGCTTGTACTAGCAAATAAACACCAAAATGAGTTTATCAAGATTCAAACAATTTCAAGCTAGGCACCATATGATAAAGCATGATTTTAGGAAAAGAAATGAAAGTAGTTTCATATTTTTCCAAGCTACAACAAAATTTCTACGAATTTCCTAAGAGTAAAGCAAATTTTATGATTTTAGTAGCAAATTTTATGATTTTTACTTGCATTATTTTCCATATAAAAGTTTTGAATATTTTTTTGAAAATTCATTTTTATGAACTTTTTGTATATTTTTTAAAATATTTCTAGTCTATTTTACCTCCCTAAACTTTTAACTAGTTCAATTATACATCCCTCTGATGAACCATCGTCAAGACCACACAAGGTGCAAAACCAAACGATTTTAAAAGTTATGAGGTGTCAAAAAATCGGTTTTGTAAATGAGGAAGGTAAATCGGATTGCCGCAAAAGTTAACAAAATTTCTAAATATCTTCGGGTAGTTTTTTGTTTCTGTATTCTTCCACTTTTGTACGGTGCTGATTTATGTTAAGATTCGTGCTCAGGCAACCCCTTTGCTTTCTGTTTTGCTGTCCCTTTTCAGTGTTGTGGCTGTCTTTTTGCTATGTCTTTGAATTATCCCGCGGCTTTTGTGAAATTATTCCGTTGCTTCTTTCTGGGAGCTGTAAACGTTAGCCGTGTCCTCCGCAGGCGCTGGCGCCGGCGGCGTTGTCATCGGTGGCGGCGGCCCCGTCGTCCCCTGCTCAGCCTATCCGCACTGCGACCGCTAAACGGCCCGGCACCGCGCGCGGTAGCGTGCGCGCGCCCACACCGCGCGCCTGTAAACCGACCTGCAGCGTCCCGGCGGCACAGTGCACCTGGAAGCCCAGCGCACGCGCAGCACACACGCTAAACACTGTAGCACGGAGGGAGAGAGTTGGTAAGAGAGAAAAGGAGAGAGATGGGAATAAAATATGGAATAGTGGGTATAGAGTATGGGATAGAGATAACACGGGCGCGGAAGAAATGGGTATAGAGTAGAGAATCTCGATGACTAGATAGAATATTCCTTTTCAGAGATGGAAATAGAGGTGGGCGAGTGCGGATACCCTCCGCTCGCCTCACCCACGCGCTGTCTCCCCTGCTCCGCTCGCCTCGTCCGCCGTTGCCTCGCCTGCTCCGCTCGCCTTGTCCGCCGGTGTCGCTCCTGCTCCGCTCGCCTCGTCCGCCAGTGTCGTCCCTGCTCCGCTCGCCTTATCTGCCACTGTCGCTCCTGCTTCGCTCGCCTCGTGCGCCGCTGTCTTCCCTGCTCCGCTCGCCTTGTCCGCTGCTGTCATCCCTGCTCCAGTGGCCTCGTCCGCATCTGCGCCTCTCCCTCCCGCGCCGCAGTTTGTTTGTTGTCTGCGCCTCGTCCGTTGCTGTTTTCGTCAGTTCTGTGGTTACCGTCGCCCGTCGCTGTTTGTCCGCTTCATATACTGAGGTGAGTCTTCTTCTCTCCCTCCACCGTTCTCTGCTGCATCTATCATCCCCAAATATCTCCTTCCTTAGCCCCCAGTAGGCAATGTGATTGTTGCTTGACCACAGATCCGTGTGTTCCCCCTTTTTTCAGTAATTTTTTCTTTTCGTTTTTTATGTTACCCATTTGCGATTCGAAGGGTCTAGACTATTGGATTAGATTGCTGCACGGTGGTAACCCCCGGCTTGTCGGATTTGTACCCTTTGAAGAAGGAACGAAGCCCCAATGCGTGTGCTAGATCTAGCTTGCCATTCAGTATTGCAGGCCCTGAAAAATCTTTTTGATCGGTCTGTGTCAAAGGAATGGATACAAATATTCATAGCATCTTTGTCATTTAGAGTATTTGTGATATTTTGATTTGCTTTGTTCGTTTGTTTGGTGGCAGTGATTTGACATTAACCGCACTTCTGATCTAACCCGTGAAGCAATGGAAAAAATAATGGTTGAATTTCTTAATATGAGCTGTCCAAGAAAATAGCCACCTGCCCCTTCATTTTAGTTGTTTTATATGCATCAGAATCACCATCTCTGCTCATGTGATTCATCTGTCAGTGATGATACAACATTCAGCTTAAAACGCCAGTGCTGCTTCTGAGAATTCTTGACTGATGATAGAGCCGTATCTGAGCCTCATTTATTCACATGTCTTGCACGTTCATACTTGTTGTAGGAGCATTAGAGAAAAAAATGCTAACATACTAATTAGGTAGAATCTGATTATTATAACATATTTGATTTTCTTCTATTTTTTTTCTTGTACCTTTAGTTCAAGTTCAGTATTACTTTAGTAGAACTTATTTTCAATTTTCTTCGGTTCAAGTCATGTGTAATATGCGGTTCAAATAATTTAGTTTTAGCCCACTAGAATCTATTTCAAAGATAAGTTCAGTTGTGTTTCAGATTTCAGGTCTTTTTTTTTCATTATGTTTTGTTCAAGATAAGTTTCGAATGTCCTAAAACTTTTCCGAATGATGGTGTGCTGTTTTCACGCCAGATTCTGCTGTGCTAATTTCACATGTGAAAACGAATAGCCTGTTTTAGCCCACTAGAATATATTTCAAGAATTTCAGTTTCTAATTGAATGAGTCAGTTTTTTCATTGTTTCTTTTGGTTTCAGTTAAATGAATAATACTTTTTTCAATGTTTTTTTAGTTTTCAGTCAAGCTTTTTTTTTATTGTTTTTTAGTTTTAGTTTTTAGTGTATCTTTAAATGTTTTTAGGGTGGTGCTTTATAGTCTATAATTAGAAGTTCCTGTTTGGTTATCAAGTACTACTAATGTTAGATTAAGTGGTGCAATTGAAATTGAAATTTGCTCTAAACTCTCTTTTTATTTACGTTGTATACTACCGGTATGAGAATAGTTTGTGTGATGGCCTGTTGCAATGTGCTTTGCCTCATTGAGTCGAGTTTGAATGAGGCCTGTGGTTCTCTCGAGTGGGTCTATATTCACTTCTTGACTCATGGGTAGAGTGTGGTCTCGATTAGGTGTGCTTAGTTGATGTCTGAAATCATACATATGTACATGTCCAGATACATATCTGGACTGATATTTTGAAATCTGAACCTCACATGTTGTCTACTAAGCTGCTTTAGTTTGGGTTACTTAAGTGTTTTAGCTTATAAGAATTGCCTACATGCTGGTTTCTGGTTTATAAAATACGATCCAATAATCAGTTATAATTTTTTTTGGTGAACCTGAACCTTACATGTTATATAGTATTGTATAATATTGGATCATGCATTTTTTTGGGTTATTGACATTTTGTTTATTTTTTTTCAGTGTTGATTGTGGTATATTTGCTGTGAAGTTTATGGAGTTGTGGGACAAAAACATTGACCTCAGGCATATGTTTGACCAATCTGATATCCCAAACATAAGGGTGAAGCTTGCAGTTGATTTATTCTTCAACAAAGGAAATTCTATTGACAAATCTCTTGTAATGAACTTCTATAAGCATGTACTTTTTGCTATTCATACTACATATCTGCTATGTGAGTACATGTTTTTATTGTTGCTTCAATTTTTTTTATAGGGCATTGATCCTCGTGTCTGTAATTAGTTTCTTGGTATTTTGTTTTGGAGGTTTTTTGAATCACAAATCTTTATGTAATTAGTTAGATACATGGCTGAAGATTTAATGTGGAGGAGTTAAATCCGTGTAAGGAGTGCATTTCACATGTACTGCAGAGATTATATCAAACAGATATGAAAAGTTACAGTACTCATAGCAGCATTACACAAAATGTTTGTGATCTCAATTCTCAGCTTTTTCATAACTTAATATTACATGTCTTGTCATAATATTATGATTTTTTGATATTTCTTCGAATGGTCGTC